ATACCTCCTGATTCAAATTAATTGCTTACAAAGTAAATTTGTTTATGCTTTTCAAAATTGTTTCTATCAGTTTATAACTGGATAAGACACTTTCACATAAAAACTCTGTGTGTGTGTGTGTGTGTGTGGTTTGATTATTGTTTCGATAAAGTACTTCAGATTTTAAGTAATCCAGAGATTAAGGTTAATGCAATTTGAGTAGCAGTAACACTTTTATGTTGAGATAGAAACCTAACACAGTTTGGTGGTTTGAATCCCTAGCACCGTGTAATGGAGTGAGTTCCCGTTACTTGTCCCAGCTTCTGCCAACCTAGCAGTTCGAAAGTATGTAAAAATGCAAATAGAAAAGTAGGGACCACATTTAGTGGGAAGATAACAGCGTTCCGTGCGCCTTCAGAGTTTAGTCATGCTGGCTACATGACTACTGAGATGTCTTTGGACAGCGTTGACTCTTTGGCTTTGAAACGGAGATCAGCATCGCCCCCTACAGTCGGGAACAATTAACACATAGGTTCGAGGGGAACCTTTACTTTTACCTAGAAGCCTGAAAAAGCCAAGTTGCTGTAATGCTGATCTTACCCTTCTGAGATTCTTTTGCAACATTTTGGAAGCAAGCAGAGCTTTGACAAAGATATGAAAAGGGGAAGGATACTGGTTGCGAGTGAAAAAAAGGAAAGAGGGAGAGGGGGACAAAGTGGGTGAGGTTGCAATGAGACAGAAGAGGTAACTGGATTGGGGGAAGAAAAGAGATGGACCCTTGTTCAGATGTTACAAAACGTGATAAATTCCCCAGGGAAGCAACAAGTAAAATCCTTGCTATGTTGTTGTGGATTAGTCCCCAGCACAGTATGGAAGGGGAAAAAAAACCTTAGCATGGCAATTTTATGCCTGGTCAATTTTACACTTGGTGTATTTTATACCTTTCTGAAAAAGATAGCAACTCAACAAAGCCTTGTCCAGAGACTTATCATTGCTCTGAAAAACGTGTTTCAATACAGCATACATTTCCACCAAAGTCCTTCTTTTTCATTTATGCTGTTCGAATGTTTGCACTTGCATAGCACCTACTAGTCCATTGCTCTGATAGATTGTTAGCTTTATTTTTGAACAATTGTACATCACCCAGATACAATCTTTAAGTTGGGTGGCCATATGAATTATTTAAAAACAAACCAAACACTAATAAACCATATGAGTAGGTTAAACTCATGTATGAATATATCTGTTTATATATTCCGGGACAAAAAAATTAAGTGAAATTTTAAAAACTTGATGATGAATGTTGGAAGAATACACCATCAAAGGAAAACATTTTTTTCTAGATTAATTCTGAGAATTCAGAATCTAAGTTTAGTAACAGATTACCATAACTGTGGGAAAAGAAAATATAGCAAGCATCTGTCTGAAGAGCTATTTTTAATAATAATCTAACTGTTTATAGAGAACTCAACAGCTGAATTAAAGTGGGATAAATGCTGACCATTACGTTTAAATCCCTAATTTGTATTTGAGGTTTAGAAACTTCCCATTTTTGATTATATACAGGCAATTTGTTTTATAATGTGGCATTAAGTCAGTGTCAACTCTTCATGACCACATAGATTTTCTTCATGACAATCTGTCCTTAACCTGGATCCTTCATATTTTCCAGTGAAATACTTAGCAAAAATGTAATTGTGTTTAAATTGTCTATCAGAAAGGTCAACAGTTCAAATCCCCAGTGCCGTGTAATGGAGTGAGCTCCCATTACTTGTCCCAGCTTTAGATCGAAAGAATGTAAAGATGCAAGTAGAAAAATAGGAACCACATTTTAGGAATCACGGAGAGGTGTTCGGATAGCACTGGCTTTGAAATGGAGATTAGCCCCACTCCCTAGAGTCGGAAATGACTAGCACATATATGTGAGGGGAACATTTACCTTTTAATTGAGTTTATTCATGTTGTTATTGATCATTCTCTTATCCTTTCTTTACTTTTCCGAGCAAGAGAACATTCTCCACTTATGACCATTGCAGCATCACCATGGTTATGTGAACAAAATTCAGATGCTTGGCAATTGATTCATTTATGACTGTTGCAATGGTGATCTCCCTTTGTGACCTTCTTGGTCTTGAGGCCGTTAAAGACTGGATGAGAGCAAACAAGCTGATACTCAACCCAGACAAGACTGAGTGGCTGTTGTGTTTTCCTCCCAAAAATTTGACCAACGTACCATCACTCAGGCTGGGGGGACAAAACTTATACCCCTCAGAAAGGGCCCGCAACTTGGGAGTCCTCCTGGACCCACAGCTGAGTTTCGACCACCATCTTTCAGCTGTGACCAGGGGGGGCATTTGTCCAGGTTCGCCTGGTGCGCCAGTTGCAGCCCTACCTGAATCAGGAGGCCCTCACACAGTCACTCGAGCCCTTGTGTTCTCCAGGCTGGAATACTGCAATGTGCTCTACATGG